CTCCTCTCCTCCTCCTCCTCCTCCTCCTCCTCCTCCTCCTCCCTCCTCCTCCTCCTCCTCCTCCTCCTCCTCCTCCCCGTGCCGATGGCAACCCGTAGCCTGCGCGGCTGTTGTTTGTGAGGGACGCACGGGGCGCTGGTAAGGAAGTGAACATTTCACACTTCCGACGAGCACCCTCACAAACGCCCCGCGGGTCAGGGTGCCTGGGCGATACCAGCACAACAAAGCCGTTCCGCAAAGAGATGCGACCAGCCGGCAGCCAGGAAAGCGGGCAGGCTTTCAACAGAGAAATGCGGAATTGGTTTTACCTTGGCCGTTGCTGGGAGCTCCACCGGGGCACCCCAAGCCAGGGGGGGTGTTCGGGCTCGGCCCGAAGGAACCCCCCAAGATGGGCCTCTTTCCGCGCCAGGGATCTCAGAGCGATCCTGGTCTCCCTGTTCGGCCAGAAGAACCCCCCAGATGGGGCCTTACCGTCCCGCGGGGCGGCAAGGCCCCATTGGAGTAGGTGGGTGGACTTCAGGAGTGTAATAGCGCAGGGATGTAGAATGAGTAAGAGACCTCCGCTGGAGCAGAGATGTCGCTGCAAGTTTCCTTGCGGTACTGCGTATCTATGCACACTCCTCCGCGCAATGCCAATGCACCCTGATGTTCCACCGTATCTGTAGTCCACCAGGTAGTGCCGTGGATGGTGAGGAGTAGCGCTAGAGCTGACCACCATAGGCCAGCTCCGCTACCAAGTTTGAAGGGGGCTGGGAGGCCCAGCCGACAGCTTCGCCTCAGGCGAAGCCAAGCTCCAGCTCGGTTGTATCGTAGCAACGATAGTCCCAATGCAAGAGGGGATGCCATGTCAAGTATAAGAGGTTGCCTTTTAGTAACAATAGCGATAGTGTACCTCGCGGTGAGGCAGAGTCAAATCTGGGCAGCCGGCCGCTTTGAGCCAAGGCGGCCGCGGGCGCACGCTCGCGTCCACTCCTTACGTCCCCCAGCTCGCTTTAGAGTCAAGAGGCCTCCAAGATGGCCTCAGGACTGCCCAAGAGGCCCCCGAGATGGCCCCAAGAGGACTCAAAGACGGGCCAAGAGGCATCCAAGACGCCCAAGATGGCCTTTAAGACGGCCCTGGCACACCCCAAGAGGGCCCCAAGTCGGCCCAGAAAGGCCCCCCAAACGGCTTCCGACGGCGTCAGACGGGCCAGGAGCCCACCAAGATGGCCGAAATTGGCTCGAAGCTGGCCCAAGACGGCCCAAGAGGCCTCCAAGAGGCCTCCAAGAGGCCTCCAAGAGGCCTCCAAGAGGGCCTCCAGGAAGGCCCGAAAAGGCCAAAAACACTGATCTTCCCACGGTTTTCGAAGGATTTTGACATTTGCTTCGTTTCGGCCTTCCGACGGCCCGAGACGGCCCAAGAGTCCCCAAAGATCGCCCAAAGATCGCCCAAAGATCGCCGTAAGCGTCTTCGATACACCGCTACTCCGCGGACCTCTCCAGGGGCGTGTTCTGACCAAGACTCCGAGGCGAATCCAGCCGTGGCGACGAAGGAACGGGAGCGGTTTCGGTGTGTGTTCTTTCTCCTCTGAAAATTCGCCGGCCCAACGGGCCAGAGGCGTGCGAAGATCTCCGGCAACTGATTAACAATATTTCTAGTTCGCGCGCGCAGAGCGGCCCCTGGGGGCCCCCGGACGAAAAGTACCCTGGCAAGGTCCCGGGAGAAGCCCCCAGAGCACTCCAGGGGAGGGCCATTTTTCGACACCCCTCACAAGGATCGTGGCCTCCGAGGGAGAGCCGCAATCGACTACCCCCCCTCCCGCCCCAAGAGGCACCCAAAAGCCCCTCAAGAGGCCCTGGGGGCTCCCAAGACGCCGCCAAGGAGCCCCAAAAGACTCCCAAGAGGTCCTCAAGAGGCCCCCAAGAGGCCCTAAAGAGGGCTCCAGGGCAGGCGGAATGAGCGAAGCGATTCAATAACCCCTGCCCCCTCAGCGTCTTGACTGGAGCGTGGCTGAGAGCGCTCGCAGCCGCGGCTGCATGCTCGAACACCCCCGCTACATCCCGATTTGCCCCCCACGCAACCTCCGCGTTCCAAAAAAAAGTGGGGCGGCGGTGTCTGCCCCCTCAGGGGCGTTCAATTAAATAACCCCTGCCCCCTCAGCGTCTAGACTGGAGCGTGGCTGAGAGCGCTCGCAGCCGCGGCTGCCTGCTCGAACGTGAACGTCTTGGGGTCCTGGGCGCCAGCGGGAGGCCACCGAAGGACCGGCGTGGCCCTCCTCCCCCTCAAAAAGGAATGGAAGGGAGGGGCGCGGGGGGGGGGGCACGTTACGTCTTCGGGTAGCGACATCCACCCTCCTCTTCCTCCCCCTCCTCCTCCTCCTCCTCCTCCTCCTCCTCCTCCTCCTCCTCCTCCTTATCCGCCTCCTCCTCCTCCTCCTCCTCCTCCTCCTCCTCCTCCTCCTCCTCCTCCTCCCTCGCTCCTCCTTCATCCTCCTCCCTCGCTCATCCTTCATCCTCCTTCATCCTCCTTCGACCTCCTCCTCATCCTTCATCCTCCTTCCTCCTCCTCCTCCACACTCTGGGCCTGTGGGGGCCTACCGCCACCAACCATCGGTTTTCCTGAATCGATGGGAGGCGGGGGTGGGGTTCGGATTGCGCCACGTGCTCGACGAATTCCGGACCCTGCCACCGCCGCCCGTCGAGTTGCCTCGGTCGTTGATCGGCGAGAGCAGGGTTCGGAGATCGCCGCCGAGCCATGGCGGGGGAGGGGGAGCCATGACGCGCGCCGTGCCCCAGACCTTGCAAAAATGGGTTGGCCAAACACGGCGACAACCCGGGGCGTGCGACGCTGCCCGGTTCGGGCACCTCCCCTCCCCTGCGCGCCATACAGTCAACACCCGTATAGTAAGGATGCGCGATAAGGATGCAAGGGCCGTGGGCCTTGGACGCCGACTTCGAAGCTTTTCGAGCGGGGCCCGGCAAACGGAGGCGGCCAGGGGGTGGGCCGAGGCAGAGGCATCCACGACACTAAAGATAGGCCCGGAGGCTTTCCCAGAAAACAATCACTCCGAAGGAAAGACTCTACGTGAGAAGATGTCTAGCTTGCCAGAGGATATCCTCTTGCTCCCTCCTCCTGCACCCTCCTGCCTCCTCCTCCTCCTCCTCCTCCTCCTCCTCCTCCTCCTCCTCCTCCTCCTCCTCCTCCTCCTCCTCTTCCTCCTCCTCCTCCTCCTCCTCCTCCTCCTCCTCCTCCTCCTCCTCCTCCTCCTCTCCTCCTCCTCCTCCTCCTCCTCCTCCTCCTCCTCCTCCTCTTGCCTCCTCCTCCTCCTCCTTCTCCTCCTCCTCCTCCTCTTGCCTCATCCTCCTGCCTCCGCCTCGTTCTGCCGCCTCCTCCTCCTCCTCCTCGTCCTCCTCCTGCTCCTCGTCTTCGTTTTCGTCCTCGTCCTCGTCCTCATCCTGATCCTCGTCCGCCTCTTCTCTGGCCTCATGCTGCATTCCCATTGAGCCTCCTGCCTCCTCCTGGGGGCTTCATGGGCCTCCCGTTGCCTCCTGGAGCCTCCAGGGACTCAAGAAGCCTGGCCTCCTGCTCCTCCTGCCCTGGCCTCCTCCTTCGGCCCTGCTGCCACCTGGAGCCTCCTGGAGGCTTCTGGAGCCGGCTGGGGCCTCCCGGGACCTCCCGGGGCCCAGGATACTCCCGGTACCTCCCGGTGCCTCCTCCTGGAAAACTCCTGGGGCCTCCTGGGGCTTCCTGGTGGATGTGGGGCCTCCTGCGGCCTGTGGTGCCTCCTGGGGCCTCCTGAAACTTCCCGTGGCGTCCTGAAGCCTCCTGGGGGTCCCGGTGACCTTCGGAAGCTTTCCGAGGGCTCCCGCTCGAGACTTCCTTGCAAAGTGATGCAATTTGAGAAAATTGATGACACCGCTCAGATTCCAACATGGAGGTGGGGACCCTCTAAGGAGGGCTGGTTCAGACAGGAGGAGCTCAGTTACCAACTTGACGTGCGGGCCCCATCGTGAAGGGGGGCCCTGCTTGAGACATCCTCACGATTTGCCCCCTTGGGGTGCTCAAGTGCTACGCCTGGCACGATGACCCGCTCGGTGCGGGCCCCATAGGGAGGGGCCTCCCGCCTGAGACTTCCTCGCGACTCACTCACTGACGAGGCTCCTTGTTCAGACATCCTCACGATTTGCCCCCTTTGGGTGCTCAACTGCGATGCCTGGTAGAGTTAGCCGATGACCCGCTCGGATTTCCAACGTGAAGTGCGGGCCCCACAGAGAGGGGGCTCCCGCCTGAGACTTCCTTGCAATTCATTCGCAGACGAGGCCCCCGCTTGAGACATCCCTACGATTTGCCACCTTGAGGTGCGTATGTGAACTTGAATGGGTGCGCGTGAATGCGTGAAAAGTGTGTGGGATGAGTATGATGATGATGATGATGATGATGATGATGATGATGATGATGATGATGATGATGATGATCATGATCATGATGATGATGATGATGATGATGACGATGATGATGCCGATGATGATGATGATGATGATGATGATGATGATGATGATGATGATGATGATGATGATGATGATGGTGATGATGATGATGGTGATGATGATGATGATGGTGGTAGTGATGGTGATGGAGGTGGTGATGGTGATGGTGATGGCAATGGTGATGATGGTGGTGGTGATGATGATGATAATAATGATGATGATGATGATAACAATGATGATGATGATGATGGTGATGTTGATGGTGGTGGAAGTGATGATGGTGATGACGATGATGCTGATGAGGATGATGATGGTGATAATGATGATGGTGGTGGTAGTGGTGGCGAGTATGATGCTGATGGTGCTGATGTTGTAACTTATGTTGGTGATAATGATGGTTGTGATGATGGTAATGATGATGATGATGATGATGGCGATGACGATGATGATGGCGACGATGATGATGATGCTGATGATGATGATCATGATGATGATGATAAAAATAAGAAGAATAATAAGAATAATGATGATGATGATGATGATGATGATGATGATGATGATGATGATGATGATGATGATGATGATGATGATGATGATGATGATGATGATGATAACGCGTGGTTATGCGAGTGCAGGAGCGGAAAAGAGACAGAGGAGGAGAAGGAGGACGAGGAAAACGACGACGAGGAGAGGAGGACGAGGAGGAGGAGGGGGAGATCCTGCGCGGGGGGGGCAGAGAAAACAAGAACCCCACCTTGGATGTGGGGAAACAATTTAAGAAACCGGATGTCCTTAGGATGAAAGATTTGGGCTTCCCGGGCCTCTCGGCTCTAGCTGATTCCAAGAGGGCCAAGGAGGGGTCAAAGATGCCCCAGGAGCCCCATGAAACCCCAATAAGCTTCAAGACAGCCCAGGACAGCCCAAAGAGGGCCCAAGACGGCCCACGAGAGCCCCAAGACAGCATGAGACGTCCTCAAAAGAGGGCCCCGAGAGGCTCCCAAGACAGCCCCAGACACTCCCGAGACGGCCCAAAGGGACCCAAGATGGCCCAAGGAGGCTCCATGACGGGCAGAGAAGGCCCCAAGACGGCTCCGCGGGGGACCCAAGACAGCCTAGATAGACCCCACTAGCGGCTCTCAAGCAATCGAGACGAGAGGTATCACATGTCACGGCCCTCCAGGCGTCCTCGCACAGAGTGCTGCGCTGGCACGGTGGCGGAATCTGCCTCAGGTAGCTGGAGATGAGATCAAGCCCTGCTCGGCGACGAAACCAGGGGGAAATGCAGAGGGAGAGGCCTTCTCAGCAAGCTCGCAAGGCCTCCGTCCCTCAGAGGAATGATCTAAGGCATAAATGATTTCGGAGAAGGCCGGAGGGCTTCTGAGAGTCCCATCTGCCTTGTGAGAAGCCAGAGGAGGAGGAGGAGGCGGAGGAGGAGGAGCCAGGAGGAGCGAGGAGCGAGGAGGAAGAGGAGGAGCGAGAAGACGGAGGAGGAGGAGGAGGAGGAGGAGGAGGAGGAGGAGGAGGAGGAGGAGGAGCGAGGAGGAGCGAGGAGGAGCGAGGAGGAGCGAGGAGGAGGAGGACGACGACGACAAGCGAGAAGGAGGAGGAGGAGGACGAGGAGGAGCGAGAAGGAGGAGGAGAATGAGGACGAGGAGGGCTTCTGAGAAGCTGTGTGCTCCCTCCCGCTTCCCCCCCGGGCGAGCAGCTGGCCTGCAGCCCGCGTCGCCAGAGAAGATCTGCTCGGAAGCAATGGCCCGACGGGGGCGAGTCGAGAAGAGCGGCGCACTGGATCCGCAGACCGGAGACCAAAACGGGGCGCCAAAAAATAAGGTACGGTTAAGTCGGGCGTGTCCCCCTACAGGGGGATTTTCGACGAAAAATGAAAAATACAATAAAGATATTCCAAAATGTTTGAAAAATACTCCAAAAACATAGTCCCCTCATTTGTTTGACTATTTTTGAATTTTCCTCCTGTAGAGGGACGGGCCCGACTTAAAGGAACGGCCAAACCTTGAACAGAAGAGCATCCTTCAAGAAGATGGGACCCTCCGGCAGCCAAAATACCCCAAACCATACGATCTTTCGAGGGTGCCCTCCCCCAGGATGCTCAGTACCCTCCCCGAACCGACCTCGATCTTACATCTCGGCCCGACCGTAAGACGTGCATTCCAAAAAAAGTTGATCGAAGGATCATTGCTCTGGTCTAGCAGACGGGATCAATGAAAATTGGCGTGGATCTCTGCAAATGGGACGCCCGGAAACGGCGAGCGCAAAACGCAAACAACTTCACAAAAAATTCTGTTAGCCTCAGTTCTGGACTACAAGAATCAGCTCGAAATGCACAAAACAATCTGGAACGAAATTCAGAAGAAGCTCCAGGGCTCTTCCTTATCTTTCCGATCGAAAGCCGCTCTGCGAAGCTGGCGCAACGAGAAGGACGCTGCAGAGGTCCGTTGGCATCCCGGAAGAGTCCACGCCGTTCTGCCTGGCACAGCGTCGGCGCGGCTGTCGAGGCCAGCAACAGGATATTATCGCATCATTGCTGCTTCCCTCGAAGCCCTCCCACCAAGCTTGAAAAACTAGACTCCCGCTGGCTGCAGTCCGTCTGACACTCACTTCCAATGCCAAAACCAAGCGCTTCTGCTACCCATATCTCGCTACAAGTGCCTCCGATATATACACTGCCTCGGGTCTCGTCCTCATGTCCACCATCTCTCGGTCGTCGCCGCCACCGCCCTCCGCCACCTCCTCATCCTGAGTCCCTTCTCCACATATTTCTCTAGCACAATCTTTGCCAGCGCAGACCCCGAACAGTGATTTTGTGCAGTCTACGCAGAGCAATACAGGTGATGCCAGCAATATGCAATCTAGGATCTGCAATACACATGGTTCAATCTATTCTGCGCAATGCAAGACAATCCGAGGCAATGCCAAGCAATGCAAAGCAATGCAACGCAGTGCAACGCAGCGCAACGCAGTGCAAAGCAACACAAAGCAACTCAAAGCAAGGCAAAGCGATGCAACGCAACTCAAAGCAATACAAAGTAACACAAAGCAATCCAATGCAATGCAAAGTAACGCCGCGACGAGGCGGCGACGGGGCGGCGAAGGCGACAACTTAGCCGCCAGACTGACAATCAGGCCCAGAGCACGAACTGCGACGAGACGGCGACGGCGCGGCGATGGCGAGCACGGAGCTGCCAGACAGATATTCAGGGCCAGCTCCTGAGAAGAGAAGTAAGAACCTCAAAGTACATGCCCTGTTTGGGGAACAAAATGTAAGATTGGATCATATAAGATAATGTGACAGATGTGTGTATACCGCCCTTTCATGGCTGACCTGGGGGGGCAACAAAAATCATCTGGAAGGGTTTTGAACCCCTTCGTTTTAATAAAAAAAATTGGCAACCTACCCTTCCTGCCTTCGCCGACTTTCAATGAACACTGCTCTCCGCTCTCCCCCGATCTTGCGTCAGCGTGCTGCCTCACCTTTCGCGAACTGTTTCTCCATGCGCCGGATCTCAAAGCATGATGTTTCGAGGCTCTTTATTCAACTGGGACGTTCTTGGTCATTCACAGAAAATACTCTCGCTTCAGCGTTGGCCACAATTCATGATCGGCTTCTTGCTCCCTTCATTCAGGATGGCATTCTCGCTCCAGCGCGGTGCACACTTCTGGATCCAATTCTAGACCCTTCGCGTAACCCCACCAGCCCTTCCAGACATGATACCCAGACGAGTTGCCCTGATCAGGGATCTGGAGGAGAGAGCCGTGGACTAAATGATTTATGATAGAGGGCGGGTGAAACGTCATACCCCAAGAGGGGGATGGTGGAGGAGGAATGGGAGGAGGAGGAGGAGGAGGAGGAGGAGGAAGAGGCGGAGGAGGAGGAAGAGGGGGAGGAGGCGGAGGAGGGAGGAGGAGGAGGAGGAGGAGGAGGAGAAGGGGAAAGAGGAGGAGGAGGTGGTGGTGAGGAGGAGGAGAGAAGCAGGAGGAAGAGGGGGAGGAGGAGGAGGAGAGGAGGAGGAGGAGGAGGAGAGGAGGAGGAGGAGGAGGAGGAGGCAAGAGGAGGAGGAGGAGAAAGAGGAGGAGGAGAACTGTAGAAGGGCTTCTCCCGGGGGGAGACAGCGAAGCATGCTGGTCATCGCATCGACGCCACGCGCCTCATGCAGAGCATGGCGGGGTCAGCACGGGGGGGAGGGGGAGGCCGAGGAAGCGTGACAGGGGCCGTGGCGCCGGAGCTTGGAGCCGCTGCGGTGGGAGGGCCGGGAAGGCGAGGGTCAGAGGCGGCAGGGCACCCCCGCCACGAGCCGCGGGCGCGCGCGCGGGCCGCAAGCCCACGCCGGGCCCACATCATCGTCCGCCACACCAGCTGCAGCCGGGCCTGCGCTCGGAGGTGGGAGGAGGAGGAGGGAGGAGGGAGGAGGGAGGAGGGAGGAGGGAGGAGGGAGGAGGGAGGAGGGAGGAGGAGGAGGAGGAGGAGGAGGAGGAGGAGGAGGAGGAGGAGGAGGAGGAGGAGGAGGAGGAGGGGCGGCAGGGGGGCCTGCAGTCTACCCGTCTAGTAAGGATGCGCGGTAAGGGTGCAAGGGCCTTGGAGGGCCATGTCGGCGTTTGTCGAGCGGCGCGCGGCCAGCGAAAGCTGCCAGGGATCAGCCGAAGGGGCACGGATGCAAAGGCAACGTTGGGAAGTTGCTCATCCTTACTGTGCGGGTTGACTGTACCTCCACCTAGGGGCTGGTACTGGCGGCGGCTGGGAGGTCTGCACTGAATGGGCACCAGCAGAACCGGTCGGGAAGGGGAAGGGGGCGAACCCGGCAGTCGATGCCCATCTGGAGAAGGCGGCCCAGAGGGGACAGGGAACGAAATCTAAATGCAATGGTCCCTCCCTTTTTTTAAGCCTCACCGCACCGCCGTCGCAACCGCGAAGCGGAGGCTCCAGCGAGTGCGCGGTCTCTTCTTGTGCTTCGCCCACGCGCTACAGCGTGTGGCATGACGGACTGCCTCCCCCTCTTGAACGGCTGGGAGCAATGATGCCCCAACTCAGCCCCCCAGCTTTTTTCCAGAGGAAGAGGAAGATGGAGCGCGACAACATAACTTCATCTGGCTCGGCCTCTATCGCTGTGCGAAACGAAGGTCGCTAGGCAAACCGGGAACACTAAAAAAGCCGAGCTACCGGTAGGCAAACTCATGCAATGAACCGTGGCCTGAAAGAGGAACGAGCGTGCTGCATGCGTGCAGAAAGAAACAAGCGAGGAGAAGAGGGGCTGAGATAGCACGGCCCAGTGGGGATGGGGTCGGTTGGACGATGCTGACGCATGCTGGCGGAGGCAGGAAGGGTGGATAGCGCGTGGGCGGGTATTACAGTCAAGCCGTAGATCAAGGGCGCACGATAAGGGTGCAAGGGCCTTGGAAGGCCATGTCGACACTCTGCGAACGGCGCGCGGCCAGCGAAAGCGCCCCACGATGGGCCGAAGGGGAAGGAAGGATGGGCCGAAGGCCTTCGGCCCATCCTTCCTTCGAAGGGGAAGGAAGTAGAACTGCTCATCCTCACTACGCGGGTTGACTGCACACGCCTTCGACAGGGAGCCTCGCCGAAGGCCCTGGAGATCTGCGCCCCCGGGTGCGCGTGGCGTCCCCCCGCCGCCCGCCCGCCCTCGACCGCCTGGAAGGGCAGGCAGGCCGCCCTCGGCACTGCCCATGGGCGGCTCTTAGCTAATGCATTTCTAGGCTTGGCGCCCTGATGCACTTCAACCTTGCCAGCTCCCGAACGAAGTGAACCCCACCCTCCCCCTCAGAAATCGTGGGGGTAGGGGTAGGGTTCGCATGTGGCCTCCTACTTGCTCTTCTCTCGACCCAGCGTGATATTGCAATCTTGGGTGGGTTACACAGGTCGGCCCTGGGCCTTGGGCCCGTATTGCTCCTGTTTTGTCCGTCTCTCCTCCGGCCTCCGGAGGTTTCTTTTGGAACAAGAACCAAAACCAAGAGCGATAAGACTTAGCACGCCGCGCACCCCTGTGGCAGGCCAACACGGGGCGGCGGATGACGGAAAGCGCGCTTAGCGTCGGGATCCGTTCGTCGGAAGAAATTCGCCGGCCCAACGGGCCAGAGGCGTGCTAAGATCTCCGGTAACTACTTAACAATATTTCTAGTTCGCGCGCGCGGGGCGGCCCCTGGGGGTCCCCCGGCGAAAAGTACCCCGACCGCAGCCCGGGAAGGTCTACTCAGAGATGGCTTTCCTCCTGGGTACGGCCTCTAAGGACCCCCAGAGCGCGCCAAGAGGGCCCCAAGAGGCCCCCAAGACTGCCCAAGAGGCCCCCGAGACGCCCAAAGGACGCTCCAAGACGCCGAAGATGATCCCAAGACGGCCCAAGAAGCCGCCAAGGCGCTCCAAGTGGCCTCCAAGAGGCCTCACAAGAGCGCCCCGAGAGGCCAAAATCATCAATTTTACGATGGTTGTTGAAGGATTTTGGCCTTGTCGCATGTTCGGCTTTCCGATGCTCCAAGACGGCCCAAGAGGCCCCCAAGAGCGCACGAAGACGGCTCAAGAGGCCCCCAAGAAGGCCCCCAGAGAGCCCAAACGAGCCCCAAGACGGCCCAAGAGACGCCCAAGACGGCCCAAGAGAGCCCCAACACAGCCCCAAGAGGGGCCCAAGATGGGGACCACGAACCGAAACCTCAAACCTTCCGCCCCAAGAGGGCCCCAGGAGGCCCCGAGAGGCCCCCAAGATGGCCCAAGATGCCGCCAAGAGGCCCCCAAGAGACCCCAGGAGGCTCCAAGGAGGCTCAAAAGAGGCCCTACAAGGCTTCAAAAATGTCTCCCAGGCGCCCCCGAACGGCCTCTCAACAGACCCCAGGGCCTCCCGAAGAAGCATCTGGACGACGGCCCTGTTTGGCCCCAAGAGCGCCGCAAGATGCCATCGAGAGGCTTCCTCCTCCGCCCTTTTCTCTTCCTCCTCCTCCTCCTCCTCCTCCTCATCCTCCTCCTCCTCATATTTATCTTCATCCTCCTCCGTTTCCTCCTCCCCTCCCCCTCCCCATTCTCATCTTCCTCCTTCCGGCGGCGCCGAAATGGCCCCGAGCCCGCGCCGAAGCAGTAGCGATCATGCAATACGGGCCGGCGGAGTGAGCGAAGCGATTGAATAACTCGAGGGGGGGGTAGGCAGTCCGGGCGTCAGATCTAATCGCCCCAGGTTTCGGGGGCGGGCGGAGGGGTCGTGGTGGTGCACGTTGGCGTAAGCGTTACAGCTTTGCTCATCTACCCCACGGAGCTACACCCCGGAAACTCACCAAAAACCAAAGAAACAATCAGAACCTGAATTCGACGAATCCCCTCCAAGGCACAATGCGCTGAAGGCGCCTCTCACGTGCAGCAGCACGGTTGGCGGAGGGGACAAAGGAGGGAGGCTCAGCCAGTCAGACCTGTGGCGTGGGGGGTCACGTCCACCTCACCCACCCGCGGGGGCGGGAGAGCGGAGGGAGGCTCACCCAGTCAGAGCTGTGGCGTGGGGGGTCGCGTCCACCCCCCGACCACACATCCACATTATGCTCGTTTCCTCGCTCGGGGGATGCGAGCTCGTGTCGGCGAAGGCAGAGAGGGTGGACACCCCAGATCTCACAATAGCGGGTGGCGGGGGCCCAAACAAGTGTTTGGCGGCTCGTCTGGGACCCACCCCCCCGACCAGCGGTGCAGCCGCATCGGGATCCCCCCCAGAGAGACAACAAAGGGTCCCAAATCCAGACCCCCCACAATCTTGTCTGACGAGGCACGCTGGATACCCCCCAAAAAGACCGCCCCAGTATCGTGAGATCCGCAGTAGCCAGTGGGCGGGCACTGCACGCACTCGCCAGGGCCGACCCATCCCTATTATGTTTGTTGTTCCTCGCTCCCTGGATGTGTGTTCTCTAAGACGAGATGCGCCTACAGGCCGGGGGCAGTCTGGACTGTGCTGCTACTTTTGTCGAGGCGCTCTCACAGCAGGTATATCGTAGCAGATACTTTCGCGGATAGCCGATCCGATCCGATCCCTCCTCCTCATCCTCCTCCTTATTATGTTTATTCTTGGTATCATCAACAGAATTGTTTTAATGTTTAGTATTCTTGCTATTAGTCGTAATATTATTCTTATTGTTCATGATATATCTTGGTAGTAAAAGTAACACACTTCTTCTTATCGTCATATGCGAATAAATGCTTTGCTTCAGAGTTCTTCTTAATACGTTATTATCCGTAATAATATTAATACTACTATTAGTTCTTACTATAAGTAACAGTACTATTACCCTTATTCTTGCTAGTCGTATGATTATTAATACTATTCCGCTTATTTTCCTTAGTAGTATGGATCTTCTGTTGACTAAGATTAATGATATGTTCTTCGTATGCTTATTCGTGTTCTTCTTCATAGCTCTATTATTATTATGATTATTATTATTCGTAGTTGTAGTATTAGTCCTCTTCTTACGATTGGAGAAAGCGCGTTTCACGGGCGCTTGCCTTGGGAACATTCGGCGGCGCGTTTCGAACCCGGGGGCTTCCCCCCCCCCACACACGTCGATCAAAACCAAGGGGACTCCCCTCCCCCCCAAACCCCCCCCCTCCCGAACCCCCCTCCCTCCCCAGCGCCGCCTCCCGCGCTGGCGCTCGCTGGCGGCCGCCAGCAGCGCCGAATTACCACCACTACCACCACCACCAACACTACCACCACCACCGCCTCAACCCACCACCACCACCACCAACCCGCCACACAACCACCACCACCACCACCACCACAGCCACCACCACCACCACCACAACCACCACCACCACAACTCACCGTCACCACCACCACAAAAACCCACGACCACTACCACCACCACCACCACCACCACAATCTACCACACCACCACAACACCACCACCACCACCCACCACCACAACCACCGCCCCCACCCTCCAAGCGACCACAGAATGCGCACTTTCTACGATTCAGATTCGTATTACTCGTACTTATTATTATGATTATGATTACGATTATAATCATTATTCGTATTATTAATATTAATATTATTCCTATTATTATTATTATTATTAGTAGTAGTAGTAGTAGTAGTAGTAGTAGTAGTAGTAGTAGTGGTAGTAGTAGTAGTAGTAGTATGATCCGTTGTAGTACTGCTATTATTGCTATTAGTAGCATTGATCATCTGATTACGTTTATGAATATTATGTTTGTTATTGATATTCGTCGTGCTATGCTGATTCCGATTAGTCTGTTTATTTGGCTTATTTTTCTTAGTCTGACTATCAGCATTCGTCGTCGTATTATCATTAGTGTTATTATTATTCGTTGTGCTATCCCTCTCTGTATTATTTGAAAATGTCATTATTCGTCGACAACGTCCCCTTTAGTC